GATTGACTATGTCAAGAGCTACAAATAGAAGAGGAATGGTGTCACATTCATCATCAAAAATAACATCTTAATATCAATCTTAAATAGAGTGTTGTCTGTCTGAGGATAATATCCATATGCTTACAAGGAAGAGAAGTTAATATGACTCCTACTCATTTATGTATTAATCACTAATGTAAAAAATGAAGAAATTGAGGAATCCTACGAACTTAAATCCAGTCAGAAATTGATCAAGATACACTAATAATTACTGATGAGTGTAATGATAACATTGGAAACAAAGAGGAAGGAACAGTAGTTGGAAAATATGGCCTTGTAGATAGAAATGATGAAGATCACATAATAGAATTTTGCAAGACCAACTATTTTTATTGCAGATGCCTTTTTAAAACAACATCAGCTGTGACTATACATATGTACTTCACCAGATGGAATAAACAGGAATCAAATTTATGACGTTTATGGGAATAGATGATGGAGATGCTCAATAAAACCAGCCAAAACAAGACCAGGGGTAAATTGTGGAACAGATCATCAGTTATGCATATGCAAGTTCAGGTTGAAGCTGAAAAAAACTTATAACAAGTCGACAAGAACCAAGCTATAATTTTGAGTTATATCACCCACCTGAATTTGGGACCATCTCAGGAATTAATTTAGTGCATTAGACATTAATGAACAAAGACCAGAAGAGTTGTGGGATGATATCAAGAACATCATACACGAAGAAAGCAAAAGGTCATTAAAAAGACAAGAAAGAAAGACCAAAATGGTTGTCAGAAGAGACTCTTGAAACTTACTCTTGAGTGTAGGTAAGCTAAAGCGATTGGGAACAAATGAGGAATAAAAGAACCACACAGAACATTTCAAATGGCAGCTAAAGAATACTAAGTAAACTATTAGAATAGAAAGTATACTAATGAGGTTTGCAAAGACCTGGTCTCAGTAAACCAAAAGGGAAGGACATGCTCAGCATTTGTCAAGTAGAAACAACTGAAGAAAAAATTCAAACCTCACACTGCAATATCAAAGCATTCTATGGGTAAAATGTTGAATGATTCAGAATACATAATAAGATAGAAGAAATACACTGTCACTGAGTCAAAAAGAATCGGTTGTTATTTAAGCACTTCAATAGGTAGCATATGTTAAGGAACCAATAGTATTGTCGGAACAAGTCCGGCTGCACTGACAAATAAGTCCCCAGGAATTGACAGAATACAAATTAAAATGTTTCAACAAACTGATTCCAGTGCTGGAGACACCCATTCGTTTATGGCAAGAAATTTGTAAGATAGTTACCTGGCCAGCCAATTGGAGGAGATCCATACTTGTATCCATTATAAAGAAAGGTGACACAATGGAATGTGGAAGTCACATATTATTAATATGTGTTCACATACAATTTTGCCAAAGATAATTAAAAAATTGTTGTAGCAGTACATCGACTAACAGCTTCCAGAAATTTAATAGAGATTCAGAAGAGGTTGTGGAAGGAGAGATATCATTGCTGATATTGGATGGAGCTGGGCTGTAAGCAGAGAATACCAGAAAGATGTTTATGTGTGCTTTATTGACTATGCAAGGCATTCAAGTGTGTGGATCACAGTAAACTATAGATAATATTGCAAAGAATGGGAATTACAGAATACTTAATCGTGCTGATGAGGACTCTGCATGTAGAATAAGATGCAGTTGCTCAAAGAGAATAAAGGGATATTGGATGGTTTAAAATAAAAAAAATTGTGTGTGACAGGGTTTTATCCTTCACCACATTTATTCAATCTGTATGCTGCACAAATAATCCAAGAATCTGGATTATATGGACATTAATGTGACATCAGGATTGGAGGAAGACTTATCAACAGTCTGCAAGATGCAGATGACACCATCTTGACTGCTAGAAACAAAGACTTGAAATACTGATGAAGATCAAAGATTATGGCCTTCAGTTTGGATTGCATCTCAATGTAAAGAAAATGAAAACCCTCACAAACGGATAAATAAATAACTTGATAAATGGAAGAAATATTGACATTTTCAAAGAATTCATTTTGCTTGTATCCACAATCAATGCTCATGGAAGCAGCAGTGAAAAAAATCAAATGACATATTGCCTTAGGCAAATCTGCTGCAAATGGCCTCCTTCACATGTTAAGGAGCAAAGATGACACTTTGTGTATTAAGAGTCCCTGACCCAAGCCATGGCATTTTCAATTATTATTGTTGTTGTTGTTGTCAGGTGCCATCGAGTCGGAACCGACTCATAGCGACCCCATGCACAGCAGAACGAAACAATGCTCGATCCTGGGC